AACATTAAACAGTAAATCAATTTCCTTTTCTTTCCTTTCTACAGTAACTTATCATTTTATCTAAAAATACAACAACAAAAATCTCTTCTTCCCATATTTTATCTTATATCTATAAGCAAACCTATAAAACTCATTGTTCAAACGTAATTTTAAAAAATCTATTAAGAGCTACCAGAAAATCTTTATCTTTAAACCCTTCAAATAATATCCCACAAATTAATTTCTTATCATTTTCTCTTTGTTCTCGGAAATTCTTCCACAAATTTAATACTTTCTTTCAATTTTAACATCATAACCTATCACTTTCTCTAATCATACCACAAAAAAACTCTTCTCCCCATATCTTATCCAATGGCAAATCTTTAAGATCTCATCATTCAGTCCTGGTCAAGAAAAATCTGTTAAAAACTACTAGAAGAAAAAACATCATATATTTTAACTCTGATCAAACAAACCAACTTTATAATCCTTCTTTTTGATTTTAAAAGCCTTAATATTTATTCCTTTTAGGTAATATCCCAAAAGTTGATTTTTTTCATTCTCTCTTTATTTTTTCTCAGAAACTCCTTCATAAGTGTAACACATCTCTTTTGTAAGTCCAAAATAAGAAAATTATCCAAGTCACTCTTCTGTGTTAAAATCCACACATCCAAGTCACTCTTCTGATTTTTAATTTGTATGCCCCATTTAGCTATTAAAAATCAGCCAGTTTCATTTGTAAGTCCTGTGTAGCATCTTTGTCAATATCATTCTTGTATTCTATCATTTTTAAATCCATATTCAAAACAGCCCCATTCTCAGTTGTATCCCCCTCTGTCTCCTCTTTAAAACCCATTTTTATAGTATCTGACGATCTTAAGAGAAAGTTCTGAGTATATTGTTGCTAAATATCCTTGAAATCTTCCAGAGTTAAAATACTTTTCTCCATTCTGTATTAGTGGGTCTTCTCCTTTAACTGTAATCTTTCTGGTTGCTCTAGTAACCAGCCTTCAAGACCTCCTTTTATCATGTTTTTCTCTAATCCACACCATTTTCCC